CACTGAGCTAAATCCCCGGCCTATATCAAGTATTCTTAAGAAAGCCTTTGAAAAGACTGGAGGACAAGACTTTGCAAAGTTAACAAGTGTGTCTGCGTAACTGGGATTTTTCCCTCTGTCTTCTGTTTTCCAGGTTCCATAATGTGTGTGGAACCTTTTTAACTGGAAAAAAATTTTTGCATAGGGATTTTGAGGATGTTTCTTGACAAGCATCCAGCTCAGGCTTATCTTCGGCAGCCTTATGGCTTAGCTGACCCTCACGAGCCTTCCTGAAGGGGACAAATGACTCACCCAAGCCAGGGTGCAGCACAGCAGCTCCACCAGGCCCAGCAGTGCCTTGGTGGTGGCCAGCTGCAGGACATCGCTGCAGCCAAGGCTCTGCCTCTTCAGAGTGGGAGCCCCAGAGTCCTCGGCACCCCTGAAGGACGTAGGGTCTCCCTTGGCAGAACCTCCCAGGTGATCCAGCCCCAGGAATGGGTAACGGCCAGAACCCACAAGCCTTAGAATAGGTCCAGAAACCGAAAGCAGCCCTGCTACCCCTCAAACGGTCACACTTCCTTCCCACCCACTGCCTTGCAACAGCTCTGACTGCCTTCCGGTTGGGGCCACTAGCAGCCCAAGGAATCCAGGGACACTGTTCTCAATGACTGCAAAGCAGTAGTCTGAACTTCAGGGTACAAGTACAACCATAATTCTGTGTGCAGATGCTGGGCCAGATGTTCTGTCTCCTGGACAGTGACAGCGGCAGCAGCTCCAACTGCACCAACTCTGCCCAGGGCCCACCATGGCTTATTTCCTACCTGCCATTCTCTGCAATTCCCACGTCCTAGGGCATGTCTCTACAGACAGGACACAGCAGCCCGGGGGTTTGGGCTTGGCCAGGGCTCCACATCCTGCACTAAATCCTCTGCTTCCCATGATGCTCAGTCACACCACACCTGGTGTGATGAGGGTGCACAGGGCTCGTCTCAACTCATAGGTGGTTCTGGGGCTGGGCAAGCAGCAGGTGCAGCAGAGGGTAGGACTCATGGCACGGCAGCCACCTGTCCTACTCTGGCCCCTTCTGCGCATCCTCTATAGGCTGCCACTGGCACCTAACAGGCTCCGCTGGGACCCCAGCTCTCCCCACTCTGACATTTGGAGTCACTTTCCTCTCTCAGCGGCCAGCTTCCTCATTTCCAAACAGGGCAAAGACAGAGACTGATTACATGGGCTTGGGCACAGAACTAAGAAGAGGCTGAGGGTGGGGACAGCCGGCCTGTAGCAACATGCAGCGTCATCTGCAGAGCTCCCCAAGATCAGGCAGGCAGGGCCCCAAATCATGCTCCAGCCTCAATTCCACAGCCCCCCAAACCACTGTTCCTGCATCTAGCCCAGCCTCAGCCATGCACCCTAAGGACCAGCCTGGGCCATCAGCGTCCTAAAGGCAGCAGTGAAGAAGACCCTGGGCTCACATTTCTGCCATTCACCACCCCATGGTCTTTCTACTCCGTTCCCTCACCAGGACAGAGGAATGGGAACTGCCTCACTGTAGGCTTGCTTCAAGGCTAACAAGAATGAACATAAAACACTCTCCGGACTTGCAGCTCTGCAGCAGCCACCCCTGCACCACCTGACCAGGTGACTCCAATCCCCAGGCATGGGTGTTTAGCCAGGGCAGCGTAGCCCCCTCACCCACCCTCTGAGACTCACTGGTCAGAAGGTGCTGCTCCCCGAAAGGGCCCTGCCTGCACAGCACTGGGGCCTGCGGTCCAGGACCAGAAGGTCTAGGCCCCAGAAGCAGCAAGATTTCCACCTCCAGTCTCAGTGTCTGCATCACAGGCCCAGCACTGTGCTGCCTGATTCAGGTAGCCCAGAGACTCCAGGGTCCTTCAGGACTCAATGGCCAGCAGGGCTCATACACACACACACACACACACACACACACACACACCCCAACCACAGCATCATCCCAGGAAGCTGCTCTGAAGTCCTTTGTGGGCAGCCCCAGCCCCAGCTGCTTCTAGCAGGGATCTGTGTGCGTGGCTTCTCTCCCCCAGACGCTGCCCTCCCAACAAAGCAGGGACCAGGGTCAACCCTGTCAGGCACAGAGCCAGAACTCAAAACACACCTCTGCTATAGAGATGTGATTCACACAATCATATCTGCACATGTGATTCAGAAGTCAGTTTTTACGGTTTTTTGTAGTACTGGGAATTGAACCTAGATGCTTCACACTGAGCTACAAACCCCTGCCCTTTTTATTTTTTTTTTTACTTTGAGACAGTCTTGTTAAGTTGCCTAGGGTGGCCTTGAACTTGCGATTCTTCTGCTTCAGCCTCCTTAAAAGTCAGATTTGCTTTTTGGCATCAGGATTTTTTTTTAAAGTCAAGTTTGTATCTACAAAGTGCCTTTCATCACAAGAGCCAAGCAAGGATGCTGGCTTCATCTCATAGACAGACACTGACTCAGGATGACAACAGCTTGTCCAAGGCTCCCTTGACACCTCCAAAACAAGCTCAGAGGACACAGCACAGTTGTGAGTAACCTAAGCTTTAATTAAACACCACCACCAAAACTCTGGGAGGTCTAGATCCATTCATAATGGCAGGGGTGGAGCTCAGTAGTAGGGCACATACTTAGTTAGCATGCACGAAGTCCTGGGTTCCAACCTAGGCACCAAAAAATTCATTCATGATCTAACAGGTTGTCCTAGCTGTAAAGTGGGGATGATAAAATGTAACCCAAAGGGGGGAAAAACAAAAAACAAAACCTGACCCCCACATGCTGAGAGGGTCCAGGGGCTCCAGCAGTGGGAATACAGTGCCCTGGCAGGTGTCCAGGCTCCTGTGTTTGGGTGCTTGGGCCCACTGTACTGTGGGCACAGCCCTCTCTGAACATCCAATTTTTCACAGGAAAAATGAAAGAAACAGGCACTTCTAAGTAGGCAAGAGTCTGCTCTCCTGGGCCATCCACACCCTTCATTTACCAGCTCAGAAATTCTCATTTTTCCCTAGTGTCTCTTGGGCACCTGCTCTGTATGCACCCCATGAAGTCACTGAGGAGACTCAGACTGGACAACACCCTCCAGGAGCTCACTTGCTAACTGGGGGACAGCCTCACAGGCCACTACAGTGCCAGCTGTCCCAAGCATACAGTACAGAATGAGGACAGGAAGGGTCCCAGACAGTGCCTGCGCTAAGAATGAACGGAACACTTGCAGCTGTGCTCAAGGTACTAGTGAGAGGGGTGGCTCTCCTGCAGAGAAACCAGCAATGGCAGTAGGGGCCTGTGGGTCTGGACTAGCCAGGGACCAATCAGCTGGGCCACTTCCCCACTGGCTATCCCCCCACCCCTCAAAAGGCTCCTGTCAGTGACACAGAGATTACATTCCTCCTTGGCAAAGGCAGTATTGTGTCAGGGCTAAATTAAGAGAGCGTGCACAAGGCATCTGGCATGTAGTATAAGTGCCCATAAATAAATGCTGGGTGCCATCCTCACCATTCCTGGGGGGTGGTCCTGCAGGCTCCCTGGGATGGAGGAGTGTCTACCGGGGCCAGAAGATGCTCGCTGGCCAAGACCATCAGCGAGGAGAGGACAGAATGCATGTCCAGGGGTGTGGGGAGGGGCTGCTTGCTGTAGCTGAGCACACAGGGCTAGGGGGCTGGTCCCCAAGACCCCTCCCAGTTCAGTCAGCCTGTGCCAGGCAGCAGGTGGGCCTGCCAGGTTGGCACACAGTAGGCATTCAATAAATGTTTGCCGAGAGAAATTGAGGATCCTCTAATTTCTGCTCAAAACTATGTCTAGACACCCTTTGAGATGAAACTTCTGTTCCTGACCCTCCCTGCATGAGAAGCTGCCCCAGCCACCCCTGCCCGAACCAGAAGGAGATCTACTGCTCCCTGAGAAGCACCTTGTGTTCAGCCTGCTTCCCACAAAAAGGAGGATGCAAATTTATGTCTTCCCCTCACATAGCCTCCAGGGTGTGGCCTGGTGAGGGGCCTTGAGTGCCTGGGACTGCCATGTCCCTGCTGCTTTGTGACCTTGGGTGGGGGTGGGGGTGACAGTTCCTCTTTGAGACTCAGTGTCCCCAAAGGAGTGAAGGGGGCAATGGTAGAACCTGGAAGGGTGTGTATCGACCCTTCAGATATCCCCAGCCCAGACTGGGGGCGGGGGGTGGGGGACTGCTGAGAGTCAGCGTGGAATGAAGTCATTCCCTGCATAGGGAAGGGAGGGCTCTTTTCACGGAGAAAATGACAAGCTCCAGGCTCCAGGCGGGTGGGCTCCTCTGGCTGGGGTCTGGGCAGATTCATCAGTAATGGATTACCTCATAACCAGCCAGGCCGGGAGACCCCACCCACACCTGCAGTCCCAGGCCCTTTCGAACAATGAGGCGCTCCCAGACCTCTCCACTTAGACCAGAATCACAGCCGGGGAGGTGGCCAGTCCTGTGCCCTGTGCCAGGAAGGTGGGTTCTGGGCACCGAGGCCCAACAGGTCCCTGGCAGAGCTGATGAATGAGCGCACTCAGCAGGTGCAGAAAGACAAAGGCTGCAGCGACCCACAGAGCGGCCCTGCCTCCGTGCCAGCCGGGAAGTGACCGGGGCACGAGCAGGGAGGTCCCGGGGCAGGTCCTGGATCGCACGCGCACACGCCCTGCACCAGCACCGAGGCCCCAGGTCTTCCTGGAGACAACCCAAGAGCGAAAGGAGGGTGAAGACTGGACAGGGAGACAAGCCTCCGTACGTGCAGAGGGAGACAGCGAGCATCCGGGAAGCAGGCAGAGACGCGGAGACGCAGGGTGCAGGGGACCCCGGCTCACACGCGGGGAACCAGGAAAGACCAAGATGCAGGGACACTGCAGCGACAGTGGGGAACGGGACGCGCAGGGGCAGCCTGGGCCACCCAGGGAGGTGGTCTGGCAGGGACAGGCGCTGAGACGCGGGCACGCGGAGGCGGACACGGGGGCTCCAGGACTAGGTGCGGGGGGGGTGGACCCAGGGACCCGCCCGCCCCACTCACCGAGGCCGCAGACCTCGCGCCGCAGGCTCAGGCGGCCGCGCTCCTCCGCGATGGCGCGCAGCATGTGCTGCAGGGAGCGCTCCTCGGCCTCCGCGGGCTCCGGGGACGCAGCTGCGGCGGCG